CAGCTAGATGGTGCCCGGCTACCACCACTGACTGCTCTGACCGGGATCACAACAGAGGGTTCTGGACAGAGCAGGAGAAGGATGTAGGACAAAATTCTAACACACACAAAAAGAGCAGATTTACTGGCCTGACTGAGACTGGAGAAACCCTGAGAGTGTGGCCCCCGGACACCCTTTTATTTCGGTGGTGAGGTGATTCCTGAGGTTCACTGTTCAGTCGGGGATTGGACGGCCCCATGGGGCAAGGCGGGACTGATGAGGCACAGCAGTCCAGGGACAGGGACTGGGGGGCGGAATGGCTGGTGGTGGGGAACCCAAGGTTGAGTAACCATTGTCATAAGGCAATATGTGTACTAACTTTAATGAGAAACTTGTTCCATAAACCTTCATCTAAAGTGAGAATAGCAGCATAATTGGAAGAACGTAATCGACGTAACTGAATTGTACATACAGAAATTTTTGAAATGGTGTACTTTGGCTAGGTATATTTTCACCAAAAAAAAAAAAAAGGGTCCTCCAAGGCCGAGAAGGGAGCATGTGTACATGTTGTGGGGTTGTTAACCAATGTCATAGGACGATTATGTGTACTGACTGTTTAATGGGAAAACATTTGTTCTGTAAACCTCCACCTAAAGTATAATGAAAAAAAAATTTAGAGCCACAAATTGTGCAGTTGAAAGACAGCTTCACATAAGACAGGAAGAGCGCAACAGCAGAATTCAAGGTTCAGATAAAGATCATATTAAACTTCTCCTAGTTAAACCAACAACGTATATGGTAATGACTATCTTTTCAAAAGTAACATTCACTTTTAACATCTGCCCCGAACCGACTAATCAACTGTTTTCTAGGTACAGCTTGCTAACCCTACAAACATGTCCACCCAAATACAGACTAGGGCACATTGTTTTGAAAAAGGTCCTTTTACAAGTTTCAAGTTCCCTCTACCTTTTCTTATTAAATATCTGGGGCCAAAATACGATCATTAGCGATTGTGTTAATTTAACCGCATGTGCTACTTTGTCCACATGAGTCAGAATCCACTGGACAGCAATCAAGAACAGGCGCCAAGAAGAAACAGCAGGAGCGTGGACAACTAGCATCTTAAAACACACTCCAAAGAGCCCCGGTGGCAATGGTTAAGCGCTGGGCTACCAAGCGAAAGGTGGTTCGAACCCACTACTGGCTCCACGGGAGAAAGATGTGACAGTCTGCTTCCTTAAGATTAACCAAAACCAAACCCGTTGCTGCCGTGGAATCGATTCCGACTCATAGCGACCCTACAGGAAATCCCACCGGGTAGTTCTATTTCGCCCTATACGGTTACTGAGTCAGAATCCACTCCAGGGCAACGGGTTTTGCAGCATTCCCTCCGGAAGCCACGCCCCTCTCCAGGGCCGCAGGAGCCCGCGCGCTAAGTCCCGCCTCTGACCCCGCCCCGTTGGACCAAGTCCTCGCAGCGTCTCCTCACCGCTCGACCAACAGGCGGTCAGCTAGCGTGGAGCTGAATTGTTCTTGGAGGAATGCTTCCCAAACTTTTAATCCAAAAGGTCTATCGACGCACTCCCTGCCGAGAAACACCTCGGCAAGTCTCTGACACGTCCCCTGCTCTGTTCCCGCGCAGCTCCCTTGCCTGACCGCTCCCGGAATTGAAGTTTTTCAATTAACCAGACGTGGAAGAGACCTGGGACGAACTGCCGGAGAAAAAATTAACAGCCGTGAAACAAGACAGCGGCTGTCACTTACTTGCCGACATCTGGGTGTCAGAAGCCGCCGGAGGCGCGCTGCTCCGGTGGCGGAGCGACGTCCAGGGCTCCGGTCGCGCTACGAGGTTGGCGCGGCCGGAGGGGCGGGAGGCGGGGCAGGGCGCGTTTGCGCTGGCTCTCGCGGGTTGCCGCGCGCCGGGGAACGCCAGCGCCTCGCGGGCAATCCGGTCCGTCCAGCACCCACAGACACCTAGCAGTGCACCAGCACACGTTCCCGCCCCGCGGCTCTTCCGGTTGGAGTCCTGGTGGAGAAGCTGGTAGGCGCGCGGGAGGCGAGCCCGGGGCGGGGCGAGAGAGCGCGGCCCGGTCTGGGGGCGGGGAGAGTCCTGAGGCGGCATCTGGCGGTATGGAGCCGGCCCTTAAGGATTGTGCTTTTGGTGTATCTAGGAAATCTGCCTAACATAAGGTCATACGGATTTTTTTCTTATGTTTTCTTTTAGAAGTTTTATGATTTTACATTTTATGTTTAGGTCTATGATCCATTTTGAGTTACTTTTTGTATATGGTGCGAAATGTGGATTGTAGGCCACTTTTTTGCATATGGATATCCAGCACCGTTTGTTGAAAGAACTGTCCTTTCTCCACTGAATTGCCTTTGCACCTGTGTCAAAAATGAGTTATGCTTATATGTGTGGGTCTCTTCTTAGACTGTATTTTCTGT